CCAAAACATTGTTCTACACCTTGAATATATATAATTTTTGTTAATTATAACTCAATAAAGCTGAAATTTTAAAAGTCAAATTAAAAAGAAGTGGAAGGAGTATTTTTCTGTAAATTAGAAATCACTTGTTTGATAATTCACTTTGACCTGTACCCTATCAGATAGTTATCTTGATCAATATGTTTTTTTTTTTTCACTCTGCTTTAAGCAAAAATTTTTTCAAGAAGACCTCCTCCTCACAACATTAGGAGATGTTTGTAGTATAATTGGGGCAATTTGAATTATGTGATTCAGTAACTGTGCCTTTTCTGTTAGCCTGCTACACTTTCCTTCATGAAACCTAAAGCTACATTCATTACCATCTTTCAGAGTATGCTAACACTTACTTCTAACCAGCTGAACACATCTGATGTTTTTATATAAAATTGTTGGCCACCTAAGGAACATATTATCTCAGTAATTTTCCAGTACATGGAAAATTTGTTTTTTGCAAGAAGCATTTTAAAATATATTCCAAGCATGAATGAATACACACACACACACACACACACACACACACACACACACACTTTTTTGTCTTCATCATTCACTGTTTTTTATATTGTGTATTTGAGTTTTAAATGACATGTTCTAAATAAAATTTGACTTTAAACCATTCATTAAGTTAATTTGACTTTTGCAAAGTTAGAAGTTTCTTTCATTAAATTACTTTTGTAATCCAATAATGTCTTTTGATGATAACCTCCTGTAAGTCAAATAAATAATTTGGCTCATTAAAAAAGATTATTATGGTATTATTTGGTATTATTATGGTATTATTTTCATTATTATATTTCTTTCAAGTAATTTGATATATTTTGTTAGGTTATATTTCTTAATGTGTTAATATACTTAAGGTACACAAGAGGTACACCCTAAGGAGGAGCACACTCTGCAGATGTATGTGTGATTACATGATTCAGATATCTGTAATCCTTACTAAGCCGCTGATATTTTTGGAATCTAGAATCTATACCAGTAAATGAAGTGATAACATCAAAACATATAGCTAGAGAATAAAAACTACTCACAGTCCCCTTACCCATATTTAACCTTATTGATATTTTTATATCTTTTAAAATACTTTAGACTGTGAGCTTTTGTGCATTTACATTAGAAAGATACAATATATTCTTCCATATAGCTTAGAAGATTTCTTCTGCAATCTTTAATATGCTTAAATAGTGTATATTTTTTAACAACTATACATGATTCAGTCACTCTGTCTTTGCTAATAGAAGTAGCACTAAGACTAATAGACAAGGACATAGTTTTTTGGGGCACATCTCTGATTGTTTCCATGGGCAAGCTTTTATAATTAGTATTGCTGATTCATTGAAGTTACTTTTTTCTTTTAACTTTATTTATTTATTTATTTTTTATAGACAAGATCTTTCTCAGTTATCCAGGCTGGAGTGCAGTGCCATGATCATAGTTCACTGTACCCTTGAACTCTTTCGCTCAAGCGATCCTCTCACCTCACCCTCCTAATTAATGAGGACTGTATGCATGCATCATCATGTCAGTTTAATTTAAATTAATTTAATTTTATTTTATTTTTCATTAATATTTTGTAGAGACCAGGTCTCCTTATGTTGCCCAGGCTGGTCTCAAATGTCTGACCTCAAATGATCCTCCCATCTTAGCCTCCCAAAGTTCTGGGATTGTAGGTATAAGCCGCTGTACCTGACCTGGAATTAATTTTTCTGAGGTTTTGATGCAGATTGTCAAATTGCTGTTCAGAAATTTTATACTGCTTTATACTCACACTAGCAGTGTATCAGACCTCCCATTTGACAGTATCAAGTGAACTCTTTTAAACATTAGCTACCAGACTTCTTGTTGAAAGATCAATCAAGCCAGCTCTTTCTTTCAGTTTGCTCCGTAGTATGCTGACATTTTGAGGTTGTGAGTTAAATGACTTAAAGTTTTCTCTAAAAATTTTTCCGACTGGAATTTGAACTCATTGGAGCATAACACATATGCAGGATGTACCCTCCCCCTCACCAAAAGAGTTTTGTGAGCAAAGTTTAGTGCATAAAGGATATAGTCTTTACTCTCTGATTGTCTCTCAAATTAAATTTACTTGTATTTGTTATGATACTCTTATTTAGCTATGGAGATTACAACAATTTAGGAACAGAAAGTGAAAAGCAAGGTGAGATGGCTACTATAGACAGGTGTACTAGTAAGGAAAACCTAAGTTACTGTAAAAAAAAAAAAAATGCTTGCAAAATTCAGAGGCCTAAAGAGTAGAGATATTTATTATGTACCAATCACAGGTCAGTGTTCCGGATCTGGTAGAAAGTTTTGCTCTACTTAACATTTGGGTGCAATTCCATTAATAAGAGAGAAGGAGAAAATGGGAACATTAAAATGCTCCCCTCCAACAAGCAGCCCTAGTAGAAATGACTCTTAGAGTAGGAGAAGACAGAACTTTTGGAAACAAAATATTGAAGTGATTCACTGAATGAGCAAACACTCCTTTGTCAGGTCAGTGACTTGATTTTGCCCTGCCTACAGACTTAGAAGTTAACCTGTTACCATACCATCGATTCTGGTCCAGGACTCCTAGAACAGAAGTAAATTATTTTATTACTCATGGCACAGTAGACATCATATTTTCATTGGCTCCCCTTGTCCTCCAAACCCTGTAGGGGTGACACTATATGACCCAGATGACTGCTGCTCACACATTGGGTTCACAACATAGCTAGATAATATTGAGCCTGGAGAATCCCTTCTTTTGTAGCAGCTCTGTGTCTTCAAGGGTGTCATTGTTATCCTTGAAGGTTGCTCACTAGGACAGCCCTAAGAAATGGCTGCCATTAACAGTGGTCAGGACCCTGCCATCTTGGTGCACCCAGCAAAAGATGTAAGAGCATCCGGGAACCATGCAGGGACTGTTCTTTTCAACATTCAACACCCATCATTCAGTAGCCTCTGGAGACATTTCTGTGTACAGCAAGATGAAGGAATTAGTGTTCCAAAGGATGTGGGAGTTAAATTCTGCATGAAGTAAAAATTTCAATGTCTTAAAATTGCAAGTATTTTGTCTGCCTAGAGACACCTTCAGAAACGATTATTTTTTATGATCTGCCTTTTAGAAGCCATTTACAAAACAGAGAAAGCATAGATGGATAGATGAGCCAAAGTGGTAATCACTGAAAACTGATTTATAGTATTTTGTTTCCTCATACATTGTTCTGGGTTGATGAGTGAGCAGAAGGCCCTTTCTCAGACATATTACTGTAGTACATTATACTACAGATTCATGTAGGTTAAGGGACTTTTTTTTTTTTTTAAGGTTAAAATAATCTAAAAGTAGGTTAGTCTTATTGCTTCATGTTTTGTGATAATCGCTTGAATAATAGCAACACCTGGTGATGATTAGCTTTAATAGGTGGGAGGCATAATGAAGGAGAAATAATTGTATTCATGTAAGTTAGATATTCCTTTCACCACTTACCCAGCCTCTCCATTGTAAACCATAATTTATTATTTTTTGGCATCTGAAGGAAGTGCTGGGGAAGCCTGTTGACGAAGAAAGTGACTATTAGAACTCTGGTGGTGACTTTGGCTCTGCCACTTGGTTATTTTGGGATTTTTGGCAACTTACGTAATCTCACTTAATATTTGGGTCACAAAGATTTTCTGGAATCAAGTGAGATAAGAATGTAAAAGTCTTCATAAAGCATTATACAAATATTTAGTTACTAAGAATTGTGAGTACTTAAGCTTTTGTCTATTAGAGGAGACTGAAGAATACATTCTCCTCAATGATGAGGGCATAATATAGCTTTTAATCTGGATTTTAAAAATTATATTCTACCTCCTTTTAGAAAGTTTAGTAAAAAAGACAACTTTGTGTAAAAGCTACAATTTCAGCCTGGTGCATTGGCTCATGCCTGTGATCTCAGCACTTTGGGAGGCTGAGACAGGAGGATCACTTGAGCCCAGAAGTTCAAGATGAGCCTGGACAACACAGAGAAACCCCATTTCTACAAAGAAAATCCCAGCCCTCGCAAAATTAGCCGAGCATGGTGGCACCTGCCTGTCGTCCCAGCTCCTCGATAGGCTGAAGTGGGAGGATCACCTGAGCCTGTGAGGTCGAGGCTGCAGTGAGCTGTGATCACACCACTGTACTCCACCTGGGTGACAGAGTGAGCCCCTGTCTCAAAAAATAAATAAATAAATAAATAAATAAAAAGCTACCATTTCAATCATGTGGAAGTTCCGTTTATATGGCTGGATAAATTCAAAATCATTTATTTAGTTCTAAGTCTTAATAGTAGATTCAGTAAAAAAATAAATGTTATTGTTATTTTTTATTATCAAAAACAGTAGTGGTATTGTTGGCAAATATGTGAATGGATGATTAAAGGAGCTAATGCTTGGTGTTGTATGGTAAAGAATACAGCAAATAGGAGGTAAAAGAAGTTGAGAAGGCGTGGAAAATATTTGTATGTGTCTGTGTGTGCACTTTGTAAGTGTTAATCAAACCTGTTCTTCTTAAGCTTCCTGAACATGTTTTCATTAGTTGCTATAGAAAGGAAACAAAATAGATGGTCATATAACTCACTAATTCCTTTTTTTAATGGAGTAGGATGATTTTCTCTCATTGATTGATTTATTGACAGAAGCTTCCAAATAATATTCTTGTCTTTTTAGTATCTACTGTTCGTTTAAGTAAGCACTCTCATGGCTAGTTTGCAGTGGTGGAAATTGCCAGAAAGCCATAAAATGTTCACGCTGGAAGTTACTTTAAGGATGATATAGTAACAGCAGATGAGAAAACCAATATTGATAGAATTATGTTCCTGAAGGTCACACATCTGTATGGTGGTCTAGATTCTTAAGATCATTCATCCTCTCCTACTTGTAGCAGTGCTCCTCAACCATTATGTATTATCAGAGTTCTGGACGTATTTTAAAGCAATAACATCTCATTCTCTTTTTAGGTAGTTATTACTAGTAAAAGCGGAGAGATCTTGTATCGTATTTCACCGTGGGCGAAGTATGTGGTTCGTGAAGGTGCTAATGTGAACTATGATTGGCTACACTGGGATCCAGAACACTCATATGAAGTGAGAACAACAAATCTTTAAATAAATTATTATTCCAATACTTCTAGGAAAGTTAATTTTTACTTTTATAACTTTTATAGTAATGTTCAATGCTTCTCCTCACTGACAGTTGAGTATTTTACATCATAGGATTCCTCTTACACTGTGCATGTATCAGAGTCTGTCTTCTGTAGCCAATAACATATAGAAGCTAGTTTTTGTGTAGTCTGTTTTTGAGGTTAAGGAAAACAGAATACTAAATTGCTATATACTACTCTGTAAGGGATACTGTGTTTGTTTTTTTTAACTACAATTTCTGATTTATCAGAGACTCTTTAGTGCAATATTTCTCAGTGTCATGGGTTTGAATTAGGATAAATGTCCTTAGAAACATGGAATAGGGAAGACCATCTCATGAATGTATTAACTAGGGTAATTTTTACCGCCATATTATTGACAAGTGTTCTGTGTATATTTGAACTCACTTTCTGTCCTTCAAATCATTGGAGTTTGTTGAGATATACTTTGCATTTGATAATTACATCTGTATTTCATGGATCTTACATTTTCTCTGAGGCTTAAGCTCAAAAAATAATCTTTACTCAATGATAAGGCATAAGCTATTACATGATTTATCTTTTAAAATCCACTAACAGGACTGTAAGGACTTTTTCCTAAAATAAAATTTAGTGAGTGTAGCCGGTGCCTTTTATATGTGAGAATAGTTCCAAGTGTTTAAGTATATTCACCACTTTTTAAAAATATACTTAATCAGGTAGTGTCATACCTGAATTCCTGGTTTAATTCTATATGTAATTTATATTCTGTAGTTTAAGCATTCCAGACCAAAGAAGCCACGAAGTCTAAGAATTTATGAATCTCACGTGGGAATTTCCTCCCATGAAGGAAAAGTAGCTTCTTATAAACATTTTACGTGCAATGTGCTACCAAGAATCAAAGACCTTGGTAAGTAATAACTGATTTTTATTCAGATAAAATTTTAATGAGTCTGTTCTCTTATTAGAAAAGCTAATTACAAGTGTCTCTTTTTGGTGTTAGGAGATTAAATATGTAATAGAAATACATTTTATTTTAGGCTTCTCAAATTGCCCTGTAATAGTGATAGCATAGAAAAGAGAAATGGAATAAGATAGAACACAAGAATTAAAGATATTATTCCAATTTCAATTTTAAGTAATGTGAACGGATGACTTCCAAAATTATAGATAAATATGTAAGCATAATTACTTTTTTGCTGGAGGAAAAGTTTATCAATTTAAGTGATCATTGATTATAGCCTGTTCATTTTAGTCTGTTAAGGAAAAAAATCTTATATTTGTAATGTGCCTGGAACTCATTTTGTATCAGAGTTATTTTATATAGCCCCTGCCTGGATGACTTATTTAACAAACATTTATAGAATATCTCTGTGACACACATTTTGCTAGCTATTCATATATTGAACTGTACTGGCACAGATCCTGTCTTCATAACCAACAGGAGAGTGAATAATATATTGCTGAATTATTGATTCAGTGTGTTTTAAATCTGTTGTTTTTATAGGTAATACTATTTAAAATAATTTGACAGTATATTTAACACCTGCTTCAATGGCTAGGCAGGAGGATAAAGCACATTTAATTTTACTGCTTCTACTAGGGAGTCCAAATTTTGGCTAGAAGAAAGATTTGTAAGCCATGGTTAAAGTTTTCAGTTATGTATGGATTATCTGTGATGGTAAAGTCAGGTTCCAGAAACCAAAATTAATTAAATATATAGAGTATTTAGTATTAATTATAATTAATAGATATTAGGCTAAATTATTATATTTGAAATATTCTTTCATATTATGGAGTAATAAATTGCTTATGACCCAGTTGTTGCAGAACGTTCAGCACAAGGATTCTCTTATTCGTCTTTGTGTCGGAATTCCCTAGCCTAGTACCTGGAATAAAAGTGAATCCAGGAATGATTAATGCCATTAAAATTAAGAATAAAACTATAAATTTGTGCTTGATACAAGATACCAACCCAGAAGAATGAAACTAATCTAATACCTTTGTTTATAAGTACATTTACAAGTATAGTTGCATATTTAAATGAACTGCCGTTAAAAACGAACTTATATAAACCTTAAGAAAATTATAAAGCTTGCATGAATTGGACTTTGAGAGCAGAGTAAGAATATTTTCTATGTATGTTACAGAACTGTAACTTCCAAAGTAATGAAATCATATTTGATCATTTTACCAAATTATACTTCAAGAAGAAAAACCTGTTTTTCTTAGCTTTTTAAAGACCAATACTTTTCCCCCTGATTATTTGCTTATATTAAAAAATATTAGAATTTTTTTAATGTTATGGATTTTTAAAACACGATATCTACTTTTTTGAGTCACTTTATTTACTGTTAGAGCAAAACATATCCAGATGGAGAAAGTAAGGTGATGTGTTTGTATGTGCACATACATGCATATATGCACTTGGAAATAATTTTATAGGTGCAAATTATATAGTGGAAAGTAGAAGCATTAATGCTAATTGCATAAAAGCTATCTTTTGGGCTGGTCACGGTGGCTCATGCCTGTAATCCCAGCACTTTGGGAGGTCGAGGCGGTGCGTTACCTGAGGTCAGGAGTTCGAGACCAGCCTGGCCAGCATGATGAAACCCCATCTCTACTAAAAACACGCAAAAAATTAGCCAGGCATGGTGCCATGCACCTGTAGTCCCAGCCACTCGGGAGGCTGAGGCAGGAGAATTGCCTGGCAGGAGAATTTGGCAGGCAGAAGTTTCAGTGAGCCAAGGTCACGCCAGTGCACTGCAGCCTAGGCGACAAAGCGAGACTCCATCTCAAAAAAAAAAAGAAAAAAGAAAAAGAAAGCTACCTCTGAAAAATATGAGTTTGGTGCTATTTCTTATGCTATATGGTAAAAAGGACTGAAATATATAGAAATAAATAGAAAGAGTCAAAATAAAAAGTATATGTCATGCAATTGGTTTTTTAAATTTAGGTTTCATAATCTTCAATATGACTATTACAAATGTAACTGCTGTTTAGCATATAGAGATTGCCATCTTTAATATGCTAAAACCAAATTAAGCAAGTTTGCATATTATTTATTGCTTGTTAAAATGAAGGTATATCAAATAGCTAGTCAGAATACAGCTCTAAGAGACTATTCAATGTTATTAGAAGGTCAAACAAAAAATGTTAAAGTAGTAGAACTTTTCAAGACGATCAAAGCTTCTAGATTGTAAATTTTAATGTATTAGGAATGAGGATGCTTTTTTTCCCCATTACTTTTTTTTTTTAAAGGTGGCTTTTAATTTATATTTGACCATTGCCTTACATAGGATACAACTGCATTCAGTTGATGGCAATCATGGAGCATGCTTACTATGCCAGCTTTGGTTACCAAATCACGAGCTTCTTTGCAGCTTCAAGGTAAAATCAAAGACTCATTATGTTCATTCTTATTTTGAGCAAATAATTTAAATAAATAAAATGAAATTTTACATTTTATATAACATTTGTAACATTTTAGGGTTAACAGAGTTAATAGAAACTGAACATTTTCTTTTACTAAGGCCATACACTCTCTTCCCATCCCGCCTTAGAAATTGTCCTTGATTTTATGTTGCTGTTCGTGGGATGATTTGTGATATAGAATGTCCAGTTACCTGCTGAAATTGTCACATATTTGGAGGCCCAAGGTTTAGTCAGAAAATCTTGTCCTATGAAAGCCATTCTTGTGAGAGAGCACGTCGTTTTCCGGAAAGAGACTGACTCATCTAGGAAGGTCACTGAAGAGGCCCTTGGCAGGACAATTACTGCTCACAGAAGGACTGCCCTTCCCTCCAGGCGGAAGTGGGTGGAATGTTGCTCTCTGGACGGAAAAGACACCACAGGGTTCTGTGCAGTTAACGAGGTGCTGATCTAAATGACCACAGACTGAAGAAGTCCAACACTCTCAGTGTTGTGGAGTTTATGACATGTGGCATATAGACATTGCTCCTATCATCATTCATACAGATTATTATTTTTTAACCGTAATAAAAGCTAAAATGAAAATGACAGGGAGCTATAATCAGAAGTCTGATCAGTTTAGAATAGATCAGAACAAATACTGCAAGTGAGATCTAAAACACAACTAAGAGTTAACTGGGGAAAGGGGTGAAGTGGGCGTAAATAGGTGACATTCCAGGCATAGAAAAAAGATACTGGTTCATTTACCTGTTTCTCTTTATATTAGTTCTCCCTGAATAAGTTATCTATAATACTGTCTCCAAATCCTCCACTCCAGTTCTTTCTTGAGCCCCCTCCAGGTATGCTGTCTGCCTCTTCACTGAAGTTGCTTTTGTCAAGGGTATTAGTGACCTTCACATTGTTGAGGACAATGGGCAATTCTTAGCTTACTTCAGCTGTCCACACCCCTTGGCACAGCTGGTTACTCTCACCTTCTTGAAACCTTTTTCTTTCCCTGGCTTCCAGAATAGTTTAGCCTCCTGTTGTTGCTTTTCCCACCTCACTTCTTGCTTACTGTTAATTCCCTTTGCTCTTTCCTCTTTATCTTTATGACCATTAAATATTGGACCATTAAATAATGGAACTCAGTACTTAGTTCCATTCTCTTCTTCATCTGTATGAAATACATGGGAGGATCTCATCAAGTCTCATCCAGTTTTGTAGCTTAAATATATGCTATATGTTAACTCCCAAACTTAAGTCTCTCTGACCTATCTTACGAACTTCAGAAAGTATATATTTGATGTTGGGGTATCTAATACTTATATCAAACTTCATGTGTCCAAAATTAAATTTCTGATCTTAACTTCAAGCTTCCTCCCCCTGCCATCTTCTCTACTGCAGTAAATGACATTTTCATCTTCTAGTTGTTCAAGCCCAAAATCTTGGCATTATACTTGACTTGTCCCTTTCTGTTCCTCCCTACACGCTAGCTATTATAAAATCTAGCCATCTGTAACTTCAAAATAGATCCCAAATCTGGCTGCTTCAACTGCCCCCACTGCCACCACCCATGTCCAACTTGTGGTTATCTTTTGCCTGGATTGTTTCAATAGCTCTTTGACTGGTCACTCTGTTTTCTCATGCTCTCTTTCCCCTTCTCTTACCTTTGGTCTACCAATTATGGTCAATTTTTCTGCCTGGTGGCCAGAGTAATCATTTAAAAATTAAAGTCAGATCGTGTCGCTGTCTTGCTCAGAACCCCTAGTGAATCCCTGTTTCCTTCAGAATAAAAGCAAAAGACATTACACTGGTCCCCAAGGCCTCATTTGATGTGCTTCTTGGCTGACTCTTAGAGCTCACCTCTTTTCTTTCTTGATCATTCCAGTTACAGTAGCCTGTTTGCTTTTTTTCAAATGCTCTTAGCTCATCCCTGCTCCAGTGCCCTGCACCTGCTGTTCCTTTCTGTCTGAATGCTCTTACCCTTAGATATTGTTATGCCTTGCTTCTTACTTTTTTTCTTGCTCAAATATTGCCTTTTCCATGAACTTTAACTTATGACCATCTTTAAAATAGCAAACCTTCCCTTCCCACCAGTGGCTTTTTGTTTTCTTTAGGACATTTATTATTATCCGACATTCTATGTATTTTCCTTGTTTGTTGTCTCCCAGTGGGAATGTAAATTCCATATGGTCAGTGGTGTTTATTTTTTTCACTAGTGTATCTCCAGAACATAGAAAATGTCATGGCACATGGTAGATAACTTTAGTAAGTATTTGGCAAACAAATAAAGGAATGAATGAAGGAATGAGTGAATGGCTGAATGAAAAAAACTTTATTATTGAACATGTTGTTCAATGAGTATGAAAATGGACAGGTGGCTGGAATAAAAAGAGGGTGTGGGAGAGTGTCATAAGATAATTAACATTATTGGAAAGAGCCAGTAGATGGTGCAGTAGGCCATGATCAGGACAATGGTCTTCACTCTGGGATCAATGGGAGCACAAGTATGATTTTAAGTAGGTGACATGATCTTATTTGTAGTTTATTAAAAGAGCTCTTGCTGCTCAGTGGAGTTGGCTATCAGGAGACTTGCTATATGCTTAGCACCGTACCATATCATGAGGAGCCTGATAGGAACAGCTGCTGCCCTCAAGGAGCATATAGTCTAGTGAGGAAGAGAGACAGTAAACAATTGAAGGCAAGGGTGACTAAAGGGCAAAGTTGATGCCATGGATGACTATAACGTCAAAATTTTACACAGGTTAAGAAAGGCCTTGTTCTGTGAGTAATTTTTGTTACCTATTTCATTCAGACTGTGGGGCAACCTTTAACACAAACACACCTGCTTGTGAGCTACCCATCTTATTTACGTGGTGACAAACGTGGCACATTGTCTTGGCCCACTGGTAACTGTGGGCATTCTATTTTTGGAATAAGTGCAGGAGGGATAGCCTCAATCAAGGCACCGTGGATATTCAAAGAAATTATTGAAGAGCCCCTCAATCTCAAATGTACACACTGAAAGGAATGGGCAAACATGAGAGAAGGAATGACTTACTTGCAGGTGGAAATCAGAAGCTCTGAGAATAGAGAAGCAGAGTTTTATTATTTACATCCTCAAAATGTGAATTTTGGTTAGGGTATAAATCTACATTTAATAACCCAATTTAATAATTTGATTTAAATTATTTTCTAACTTAATGGTTTTAAATTTGCTTAATATCAAACATGAAGCAAATTTGAGTTGTATCCAAGTATCAAATCACATGCTGCTTGGATATTTAAAGTGTCTACTACCGTGATGGTGAAGCAGTTGATGCACAATTGACCATTTCCTCTAAATGTGATGCAATCTTGTTTTTGCTGTGTTCTTTATTGTTAGCCGTTATGGAACACCTGAAGAGCTAAAAGAACTGGTAGACACAGCTCATTCCATGGGTATCATAGTCCTCTTAGATGTGGTACACAGCCATGCTTCAAAAAATTCAGCAGATGGATTGAATATGTTTGATGGGACGGATTCCTGTTATTTTCATTCTGGACCTAGAGGGACTCATGATCTTTGGGATAGCAGATTGTTTGCCTACTCCAGGTAGGTACATACAATATAGAAATGTTTTCTATTGTTGCATTCAAGATTAATTTTTAAGAATTTCACTAAATTCATTATGTGTGTACTCTCTCACTGGTACTTAATGTTCTTAATTCGATTTATTTTTGTTGTACAGGGGATTTTACCTTGTTTTGTATAGCACATGTATTTGTGGTATATTGCATTAAATTTCAATTTTACATATCTTATGCCATGTAAAATATATTGGTGATATGGTCACTTAAAAATTTGGCTGTGAACCATTTTTTTTTAATATCTAAAAGGCAACTTTATCAAATTGACTTAAATCATAGCCAGTCTCCTTTTACTAAAGAAATACATTGTTTTAAGAAGGCTATTTAAAAAAATCATACTTCATTGCTTCATATCTTAAAATTTCATGCTTTTGATTACAGCTAAATAAATTTACAACTATAAAACAACAGTTACTAGTATATAATATGTTTCATATATGGTGCCAAGTGTTTTAGATATACTAGCTACCTATTTTATCTTATTTAATCTGCACAGCAACTCTACTTACACGTAGTAAACACTATTGTTATAGCCATCTTATAGATAAATAAACTAAGGCTTAGTGTTGAGACCATTTGTTAAGATCAAACAGATCTCTGACCTCTTCTAACATGTAAGGAGAAGGGTGTTTTAGGTGATTACATAGCTTATGGCAAAAATTAAAAAGAAAAATTAAAAAACCATGAACTTGTGTTTATTATTTATTGTAAGTGAAAAAATGAAAATGTCAAGCATATTAAAAGTAACAAAGTATCAAGTAATGTATAATACATATTTCTATAATGCATATACATATTTTATAATACATATATGAAATATGTATATGTATTATATACATACTATATATAATTATATATATGTATATGTATTTTTGAAAAAAATAAATGAATTTTCTTTCCAGTGTTGCATCATACATAAACATAAATATACCTGGAAAATAGGCTATATAGAAAAATGTCTCAGCAAATAATTTTGTAAAATGAAGAAGTCTCATTTTTCAACCTAAATTAGATGACTTGTATATGAAGGAAATTCATACATTGTTTCTGGATATCATACATTATTTTATATTTCATAGCCATTCAGGAAACACTCATGCCAGATAAGGCAGTGTAATAGGTGAGAAAAGAAACAAGACGGTAGCAGGGTTCCTGGCCTAGCCTCACTGTGGTACAAACTGATTAATCATTCTTATTCTCAGGCTTTTTATTATAGAAGGAGGCAGAGTTTGGGGGCTAATAGAATTTTGCTCATGAAGGTATTTTGTATTCATGTCACCTTTTGAACATTAATTTTTATGCCACAGATTTATAGCAAATAAAAAAGACTAAATCTGCATTAATTCTGTGATATATTAGGTTGGTGCAAAAGTAATTGTGGTTTTTGTCCTTACTTTTATTGGCAAAAAACTGCAATTACATAACTCTACTAATTACATCATTGAGTAAATCTTATAGAAGTAGAAATTCAATTAATTTAACTCTCTGGTTTATATTTGGATGAATGAGGGTTGATTATTTTGTAGAAGTGTGCCTTATGAAAGAAATATATTTATTAAATAGTTAGATTTTTATGTTTTAAAACAATTATTCTGTAGAACTATACCTTAAAAAGAAATACATTAAGTGGATGGATTTTTATGTTATACAACATTTTTTTTTTATGAACGTGTTTATCCTAGTGTACCTTGCTGTACCAAAGTGCATTTAAACTTAGCCAATTTTCTAAACAAAAGGGATCATACATCATTGTTTTCCAAAACATTTCTATTACAGAAATTGAGACAAACTCAACATTGTTATTTAATACTTGGCTTCTTTTTTATTGAATTAGCTATTAATCTTTCTCATGTGCATGCTTTTGGTAAATAAAGCATCATATGGTTTTAACTTAATTTTTATTGTGACCATTTTGTTGTTTTTTTTTCCTGCTGTCATATAGGCTTAGTTCTCTGTAAATATAGTTTTATTAAATTGCATTTGTAGTATCCTACATGCCATTCTATTTGACCAATATTGAACTTTTCCCATTTTATAGAATTAGTATTTTCTATATAAGTTTATACTATTAATGTATTAGGGTTCTCTAGCGGGAGAGAACTAATAGGATATATATATATATTTATGAAGCTATATATATATATATATATCAAGGGGAGTTTATGATGGGAACTGACTCATACAGTCACAAGGTGAAGTCCCACAGTAGGCCATTTGCAAGCTGAAGAGCCAGGAAGCTAGTCCAATAGTGCAGCCTTTAGTCTGTGGTGAAAGGCCGAAGAGTCCAAAAGCTGAGGAACTTGGAATTTGATATTTGAGGACAGGAAGCATCCAGTACAGGAGAAAGATGGAGGCTGGAAGACTAAGCTAGTCTAGTTTTTCCACGTTCCTCTGCCTGCTTTTATTCTGGCTGTGCTGGCAGCTGATTAGATGGTGCCCATCCAGATCGAGGGTGGGTTTCTGCTTTTCCCAGTCCACTGACTCAAATGTTAATCTCCTTTGGCAACACCCTCACAGATGTATCCAGAAACAATACCTTGCATCCTTCAATCTGATCAAGTTGACAATCAGTATAAACCATCACCATTAGTTATGACATTATTAAACAATATGGATAAAATCCCCCAAAGCCAGTGTATATAAATTCATTTAAACAAACATGTCTTAGCATTCATGATCAAAGTCCTACTTTGCTCTTTTGGTTATTTATTGCTGCTTAATAAACAAGCCAAATATTTAGTGACTTCACAGCAATATTTGTTTTGTTCCAAAACTCACAATTTGGGTATACCTCAGTGTGGACTGCTCTTCTCTTCTTCACCTTGTGTCAGCTGGGGTGGCTCATGTAGGGGACAGAGCATCTGCTTTCAGGATGGTTCACTCACATGGCCTACAGTTGGTGCTGTCAGCTAGGAGCTCAGCCTTGGTTGTGAGGTTGAGGACCCCAGCTCGCCGCCTCCTAGCCCACTCCACAGACAACGTGGCCTTTCTCACAAGAGTGACAGTCCCGAAAGACAGGATGTGCAAGCTGCCATTTTATATGGTCTGGGTTTAGAACGTGGCACAGTGCCATTTCTGCTGAAAGCTACTGGTCAATCACGGTTTCAAGAAAACTTGAAAACTTGTTAGTTTATCGAATAAAACTTGTTAGATATGAGCATTTTTGCACATAGCCTTAAAATTCCTTAACACCCCTCCCTTTGAAGGGGCGTTAAGTAATTTTAACCACACACAACAAATACGCTGCTTTACAAATTCAAAAGAGATGTATTGAAATACCTGTTCATGTGGAAATATTATTTACTCAACCATATTTCTCTTATGAGAAATATCAGAGAGTTATGTCTGAAATAGGCAATTAAAAAAAATACACCTTTCATTATAAAATAATGCCATTGTAGATAATTAGAAAATTTAAAAAGGCACACAAAATTCAAAATAAAAAACTATATTTAAAAAATGTGAACAGCATACTTGTATTTAGCTATATGTGAATGCATTTAATGAATATTCCTTACATGCATATAAATATATAACCCAATCCTTCACTTTCACCCTCTTCATAAAATAGCTACTCTGCCTGTAATTTTGAGTTTGTTCCTTATTCAGATGAAATCAGAAACTACAATTTATATTTCATATTTTAAATATGAATATTTCCACCCCTTACATTTGTTAGGCTGATTAATTTTATAGCCCACTGACAAATAGACATAAATATGGCACATGGCTTGCTTAAGACCTAAGCCTCTTCTTTGAAAACTTCTGTCATAATTTTTGAAATTATTATATTTACTGTTTGAAAAAATTGATGTTATAGAATTGCTTCTGTAGAGATATGCTACTGATGCCCATTTTATCCTATCTATATGTCACAACCTGTCACCTTTTAGAATCTGGGATTCAAGTGCCATCATCAAAGTTATCAGAATTAAATCTCTTACTCTGAGTAGTACCAGAGATCCTGACTGTGCTGTTTCATTACCTGCTATGAATACATTTCCAATCAGGAGCTGCCCATGTTTTAATTTTCTGTCTACTCGGCTGAGCTGCCTTCTAGCTCTGCTAAATTAGTAGTGACAGTTCATAACAGAGATTGGGTTGTCCTTTATTTGATAGAGAGAACGTTCTGACAAGTATGTCACCCATAAGTTTCAAGAGTTTCTAGAATTAGTAATAATGAATATAGTGTAGTGGCCCCAGTTTTAAATTCTGTTTGCATATTCCTCTGGCACTATATCAATGCACATTTAAGACAATGAAAATTTGTTAGGTTTAAATAACTATTATGCCATAACCATTACTAGATATTCAAATGAATATCTTTTGTTTGTTAAATATTTCTTTCAAGGATAAAATACTGACTTCTAAAGGAGATAGCAAAGTAGATCTAATGCTCATGTTTTTCCTCCTTAAACTTATGTTTGGACACAAAATTAATATAGTTACATTTCATCAGCTTGAGTTCATAATATGGTAACCATTAGGCTGAAATATATTCTCTTTTCTTGAGCAACTAGAGTTGTTTTCGGAAACAAAAATGAGTCCAGTTGGCCTCTTTAGGGTCATAAGTATGTGGAATAAAGTACCCTTAGTATAGACACTATATATAATATTTAGGGCTTCTCAACTATGGTAGGTGTTTTCTACAAGTTACAACGTGGAAGGAAATTCAACGGGTTCTCCCTGCTCAGAGTGGATTTTTGTATCTGAGGTAATTATTCTATGATATCTTACCATATGGCTTTTCTATGGTTAATTAGAATTGAGGTAGAATGGTAACCCAGTCATGCATTCCTGAGGTAAACCCTCATGACCATAGATGCCAGTATTCTAAACACAATTTTAGCATAATTATATGTGATATTACATCATGACCAAATCAGTTCTCAATGACAAATACTAATTTGAGGATTATTATGCATCAGTATACTAGCAAATGAGTATATGACACCATCGTGATTA